CGTTGAATTTCTACAGGCTGTAGATACCTGGAAAAGCTCGATTTCCCGCCATGGAAAATAAAAAAAGTCTTGATTTGGGGTGCTGGCGCTTCGCCTGCAACAGGAACCGTGGCTAGTTTGCATGCTGATCCTCGACGTAGATCTGCAACAGCAAGGAATGACCGTGGAGCATGCCATCAAGGTCGCTTGGAGTTGACCTGCGTGCGGCCTAGACTGGTTGCATGGGGTGCGGCAATGGCCCAGACAGATCCTGCCGGCAATTCTTTCGGAAAAATATCGAAGAATTGAAAGAGCGGAAATTGCCGGCAAAATCGGAGCTAAATATCGAGATGGTGGGTAAAATCGATGCCTGATACCTAGCTTTCCTTGTTTCTTACCCGTCGTTCTACAACTAACTGGCTAACAGCTCTAGCACATCTTGGATGCGCACTCCAACAGCCTTCCAACTTGGAAGGTTCTACGTTATAGATATAAAGGAGGAAAAGGTGAGGGCAACTAAGATAAGCACGACCTGAAAGTCTCAGCTGTGAAGGACGTTAGGGGATGTTCATGCATGTCGATGACGATACTGGCAGCAGGACCATTGGACAATACGGTCAAACCACGATTCCAGAACGCAAAGCAACATTCCACACAACCTGTGTGGCTCAAAAAATGCGAAGATCAATAAATGGGGAAGCTATGCGAACAAGAATCATGAAAAACCGAACGCATCAGTAAAACAGCACTGTACTTCGACTATGAAAATTTACAGTCAGTTTCAAAAAGAAATGCAATCCCAGGGAGCGCTCGCCGAGTTTACGGTTTTACCGTAGGAGCTGCCAGAAAAACTCGTTCTGAAATCGAGGAAATATTGTGCGGCAAGTACGAAAAATCAGCGCGCCACGCGAGTTTGCATAAGACGTGCAAGGCACGTTGTGCACTTTCTCTTGTTTCATTTATCAAATTTTGGTAAACATTCTGATTGCTCTATTATCTTCTACCATGCCTCGTCTTGGAGAGGGAGAAAAGTCGATAGTTCGCAATGTTTACGCCTTCTTTCAGTTGGAGAAGTCAGGTGGTCGTCGTGATCGTGGTGCTGCAAAATCACTGGCCGTCCGAACAGCCATGGCGTGCAAGATTACAACGTCGACTGTCAACAATCTTCGTCGAGTATCTGGTACGAAGCAGGGTAAAGCTACGAAGCGTGGCCGCCCTAAAGTTGTTGTGGACGAGTTCACGAGAAGCGTCATCCAGGGGAAAGTCCATGTATTCTACTCCAGGCGCGATCACCCCACTGTGGACAAAGTGCTTGCTCTGTGCAAGGAAGACGAAGACTTTCCAAAAATGTCACGGACGACATTCTGGAGAGTTCTGAAGTCGATAGGCTTTCACTATGTGCAGACGAAGGGGAACACTCAGATAATGATGGAGCGGACTGATATTGTTGCTTGGCGTCATCGCTTCCTGCGTCGGATCAGGGAAATTCGTCGGGGAGGCAGACCAATTGTTTACCTGGATGAAACCTGGATCAATGCCCATCATACTGTTTCTAGGAAATGGTGAGTCTTCCCAAATTTATAAAATCATGGCACTGATGTAGTGTTTGTAACAGTGTAATTTGTTATTGCTGTATGTATCTTTGGATATAAGTGGTGATGAGAACTATTGAAGATGGTTTCGTTTTATAGGTGTTGCATGTATGTTTTCAGTAGTAGATATTTTCTTAATATGTTCTGGTTATGTAAGAAGTTACACGTATTAAAATGTTACTGAGAGAACATTTGTGTTGTACAATTTACTGTAGGTATCTGAAAGGTGCAGGAGGTTACAAGCAACCCCATGAAGCTCCGTCTGGGAAGGGCAAGTGTCTCATTATCTTGCAGGCTGGTTGGAAAGGTGGCTTTCTACCAGGGTACTGCCTTCGATTCAACAACATCTATCGGTAGGTGAGCCAACTGTTCCGTTCTTTTTTGTTGTGTTTGTTACATGTGTGCGTTGCATTTCAAAATTATTTTAGGGAAAACTGCCGATTGCAATTTCCATTTATCATAATAGTGGTTTTGTTTCAGCATTGGAGCCTTTTCTTACAAAAATAGGGCCATAGTGTTTGATTAGTGTTTTTGTTTTGTTTTTTGTCCATCTTCATTGTTCTACTGCAGGTGCGGTCATTGTCATGGACAATGCACCCTACCATACGGCGAAGACGCAGGCATCCAAGTGCCCCACCACATCGTGGTGGAAAGCGGAGATCCAAGAGTGGTTGAGCCAGCGTGCTTTCCATTGGACTCCGGACATGGTAAAGAAGGAGCTTCTTGATTTAGTTATGTTGAATAAGCCTAGTCCAAAATATGTGTGCGATGAGGAAGCTGAAAAGCAAGGGATTGAAGTCCTTCGCCTTCCTCCTTATCATTGCATTTTCAATCCTATTGAGTTGGTATGGGCACGGCTTAAGACGAAAGTAGCCAATATCAACTCTACGTACAAGATAGGTGACGTACAGGAGCATGTTCATAGTGTGTTTGCAAGTCTGAAACCTGAATTGTGGTCGAGTTGTTGTACACATTGCGACAAACTTGTTGATCAAGCATGGGTTAATGACGGTTTGCAAGATGAGATGATAGATCAGATCATCATTGAACCAGGTGATAGTGACGACGGTGATTAGGACGAAGACCTTGTACATGAACATAACGACGATGATGATGATGCTAATGATGATGCAGGTAATTAAATTTTGTGGTTCTTTTTCCTGTTCTGTGCTTGAGTTTTTGTGATTTTACAAGTATTCATCCCAAGTGGTGATGGGTTTTCACCACAATTCAACCGGCGGTCCTGAGGTCCCTTGCGTGAGGAACTCCTGCCATTTTCCTAATCAACATTCCAATCACCTCTATCTTCTGGAAGAACGCTCTCTCAACTCACTGTTAATCCCTTATTACAAAGGATATCAGTGTGGACAGTGGCATATACCATAAAACAGCATACATGATCTTACGGCACTTCTTTCTTGCAATATGATGATTTCTTTTGACCTTTATGACAACCCCATTTCATTATTGTTATTACTATTGCCAGGTCTCATTGTTCTCCTACTTTAGTATCAATGTACGCATGTCCTTATACCACTTTCAAACCAGTTTTAAACAACTGGAAACCGAGCACGAGACGTGTGTATGTGGCTGTGCGTGTGTTTATGTGTTCATGGACAAGGAAGCAAGATTGTGGGTCGGTGGCTATGACAGACGGATTATATTGAGTCCCACTCTACTGTACTTTGGTCTTATCTATGATAGTATTGTGCGTCACAAGACATCTCGGATCTCCATACAGTAATTTTTATGCTGGTATGGTCACGGTCACGGTACTTCTCCTCTGGGCTTTTATAGTGCCACAAAATCAATGGAAAAAGAAAAAGAAATACAATTGAAGATAGGCTGGGGTTTGAACCCACAACTTCATGGTCCACAGACAGCAAAACAATAGAAAAAAAGGTCATGAGTTGAAGATAGGCTGGGGTTTGAAACTGGAACTTTATGGTCGGCATACAGCATGCATAACCACAAGGCCAAGAAGACAAACGTAAATCGCGGGTTTTTGATAAAAATCGCTACTGGCTTCCTGGGCAAAGTCTAAACCATTGGAAAAGGCCTGAAACCTGGCCGAAATTCTAACTCCTTAACGGTCCAATTGTTCCGAAACCTTCACAGAACAATTTGCCGTGCCTAGGCCTCAGCGGCTAATGCTAGTTTTTTGGTTGCTAATGCTAGGTTGAGTGCTCGTTTGCAGCATTAATGCTAGTTTCAGCACCAATAAAAAGGAAAGAAAATGGTTTACAGAAATACTTTTTCGGATGGTATTGTGTCTAATTTCATTGTAGACACGATCAGATGAAACAGGGCACCATGGTAAATTAAAGATAGAAATGCGATACTAGTAGTCGATACACGGTGGACAATGTCTGGCAACTATCTTCGTGTCCCATTACGGCTTGGGAACTCACAGCTCATGGCCGAGCCGACCACGGTTGTACTGGAGCATGAGCTCCACTTCCAGGTGGTCTGTCAGTGTTGAGGCTTGCTAAGGGTGCACCCTTTGGGGTTTTCTTGAAATAAACTTTTTTGAATTTTTCCACTCGACCATGCTGAAATACGGCCAGAGTCATACCTGCGCAGGAAAGCTCGGCCCTTTCGCGACGTCTCCTCAGCAATTTCTACTCCAACACTACTCCCAAGGCCGCAGAACAAAGTGTAGTGTTGACTCTGACAAGGAAAAGCAGCGGTGATCACTTGTCACTCCAAACGACAAGGTTCTCCTTGCGCCACCAATAATTTTTTGTGCGACTGTCGATGCAAAAGTTACTGAAGGCTAGGCCTGAGCGCAGTTTTTGAATCTTATTGCAAGATGCACGGTGTAATCACGTGCTTTGTGACGCAAGAATGCCAAGTCGCGTGGATCACGGCATGTGTGTAGCGTAGGTTTGGCGCTTCCAAATAGGCGCCCTTACTCGCCTTAGCATTGAGACGATAACGCTAGCGGAAACGGTATTTTGACTGTGGCCGGGCCAAGAGTGCCCATTTTGTTACTGTATGGCATATATGTACCCTTGAATCCTGTTGTGCACTTGCTGTGTGCCAGAAGAGGCCCAGACTCCATAATTGGTGCAAACATTACCATATGGGTCATTGCAGCGTATGCCTTGGAAAGATTTTTAGCCCCCAGGCCCCTTTTAGTGCTTTTTACCCCATAAAACCTGCTTGCAATGCTAGAACAATGCTAGTTTCCAAAAAAGGCCTTTAATGCTACTTTTAATGCTAGCATTAGCCGCTGAGGCCTAGCCGTGCCCTAACAAGCCCTTCTATGTACTTTGTTGTTCAGAATTCCCTTATCTTCATACTTTTTAAAACCCAAACCTGATTGCTAATCTTTTTGAAACAGACTAAAGATGGACAATAAGCAGCGGAAATATGCAGCAGTTTCACACGACGATCGTTTCGCCGTGTAGATAAAGACGGCTCATCAGGTGTGCAGGAATGGACTCAGATGGAGAGTCAAGGTTTAATTTATACAAAAGAGAAAGACCAAGAAACTACAAGTTACGCTATACTGCCCACTAACACCACCAGTTACTAAACAATCAGCTCATGCGATAACATTGCACGACACTGACCGACGGCACTGACGTTCTACAACTAACTGGCTAACAGCTCTAGCACATCTTGGATGCACACTCCAACAGCCTTCCAACTTGGAATGTTCTAAGTTATAAAATAACATAAGGAGGGGAAGGTGAGCGCAACCAAGATAAGCACGAGCTGAAAGTTTCAGCTGTGAAGGACGTTGGCGGATGTTCATGCATGTCGATGACGATACTGGCAAGTAACGGATTCCACTGCCCGTCATCAAGTGACGACAGGCAGGAACAGATTCCACTGCCCGTCGTCAACTGACGTCGGGCAGTAGCCACTGGACTGACTCTCTACTTCATGGTCTTTCATTGGTTACTTGCCGCATGTGAAAAGAATTCGGGTGGACACACCCATTCCCATAGCGCTGCATATCACATCCGAACCAGTTCCGTTATTTTACAACGTTTCGGCACTTGGCCATCATCAGGTAATAACAATGAATACCGTGGAAGCCACACAAGAGCAGTATATACGCAGAGTGTAGCGCCAAAAAAGATGCGAATTATGTCACCTAATATGACAGAGAGAGAGAAAAGGCGCAACTAGCACATCACAGAGGAGAAGCAGCAGAAGGTAGCGCGCATTGTGCTCTGTGAATGGCGTTGCGCAGAGTGTAGCGCCAAAAAATAAAATGATGCGAGTTATGTCACCTCTATACAGAGGGGGGGGGAGAGAGAGAAGGTGCAACTGTGCACATCACGGAGAAGAAGAGCGCGCCGTTGTGCTCTACGAAGTGAGGGCACATGCCAAATAATTATGGTGTTAATTCTAGCACAGGATCTAGGAGGGGAGCACGGAGCCCCATGAGTCAATGCACTATGAGGTTAAAACTTCCATGCCAAACTGTTACCACCAGGGACGCGACGAGGCATCAGGAATAGAATGGTTTTGAGTGACCCACCTCATATTATAATTATTCAGTGATATTGAAGTAGCAGCAGGGGAAGCTGAGAAAATTCACAACAAATCCCATCCGGTGCTTATGTTCACATGGGGCTTGGCATCACGAATCTCAATCGCCTCGCGCAGTTTGCGACGGGCTCGATCAGGCTCTCTTCCTATTACTTCAACTGCAGAGAATGCACTTTGCCCATAGTTAAGCTTACATCCAGGGTGAGTGGTGCGAAAATGTTGGCCCCATGGCTTGTCGAGTTCCTGGCGTCTTGCCTCACCATTATGTTCTTCCAGGCGAGTTTCCAGAAAGCGGCCAGTCTCACCAACATATTGTTCCGGACATTCTTTGCACTTCAGCTGATATACAACATTCTTCTGCATACATACATCCTGTCCCCCGGATATACACGAGATACATGGCCCCTTTGGGCGACCTCTCTTTTTCGGTTGTAGCGGATTTGCAGCCTTGACACATAGAGGAGGAACGAGGGCGGAGCGACACAATGTGCGCCTCAGGCTACCAGTGTGCTCATATACGACTCTAACCGGAATTTTATACTTTCTGATTGCTTTATTCACTGCTTGATGTACTTTATCTGACTTATATGGAAGCTTTAGAAATGCGCAGCATGGGTTGGCATGGCGACGACGCTTTGGCCTTATGGAGGCAGTGCGTGCCTCTTCAATGATTTTCTCTGGGTAATTGTTCAATCTTAATTGCTCATGAACCATCGCTTCACTTTCTGCACGCATTCTGGTATTCGATGAGAGCCTCTGAGCTCTTAGGAATTATGACGAAGCAACTGCCAATTTGATATGGTGGGGAACTGCCGAAGTATAATCAATGAGTAGACCACTAGCACATGCCTTCTGGTACAGCTTGTATGCCAGCTTGCCTTCCTGGATCATAATTGTGATATCCATAAAATTTATGGAGCCACTCACCTCGCTGAGCTCATATGTGAAGTTGATACTTGGGTGTGCAGAGTTGAAATGCTGCACAAACTGCACAAACCGCACAAACCGCCATTCACAGAGCACAATGCGCGCTACCTTCTGCTGCTTCTCCTCTGTGATGTGCTAGTTGCGCCTTTTCTCTCTCTCTGTCATATTAGGTGACATAATTCGCATCTTTTTTGGCGCTACACTCTGCGTATATACTGCTCTTGTGTGGCTTCCACGGTATTCATTGTTATTACCTGATGATGGCCAAGTGCCGAAACGTTGTAAAATAACGGAACTGGTTCGGATGTGATATGCAGCGCTATGGGAATGGGTGTGTCCACCCGAATTCTTTTCACAGATGAAGCTGCAGGAAGCCTCAGCCCTTCTTCATACTTGCCGCATGTTTCATTAAATACAAGTCACCGGATTGCGCGGAAATTCGAAAGAGTGACTAAGTGGAAAACAGACAAATGAAAAAAAGAGCTGATTATTAAAATTATCTAAAGCAGAAGAGCGGCTGGTTGCAAGCACAACTGTCATCATGGCGCTCCAACATTTGATCTGCAACTGGGAGAAAAGAAGCCCTTTTGTTGAACGATATTGACGATGTGAATGAGCTCCTCCAAAAAATTGAGGAAGA